AGTTTTAAATAACTCAAGAACTAAAGCTTCTACCACTTCCTTCGAGAAACTTTCCCATAGAACAATAGGAACTATTTTCCTGAGTTTAGTTTTTCTTTAATTTCATCCCATTATTCATATATATCTATATATAGACTAGAGAGTAAGACACCAGGGAAGGGGAGCACAGGCCACCAAGAAAAGGTGGTCAGAGGAAGGCCAGCAACGGACACCAGAAGAGTCAAAAGATGTTTAAACAGCTACCACACTGACAGCAGGGAAACAGTCAGGGAAGTGGCTAAAGAAAACTTAAAAGAGTTCTACATTTTCCCTTCTTGCAGCACATGAGAATACTGGGATCCAGAATCATTTGTATGGATCTGAGAGGAGAAATCTGATCTTGAAAAAAACTGAATAACTGTTTTTCCATGCCACTCTTCACTAAAAAAGAGAGCCAGAATTCCCACAGAAATTGCTCTCCCTCCCAGATTTTGTTCCCAGAGAAGGAAATAAAGAGACTCCTCAGTAGCACATAGCAAAGTATTACAACAGGTTTGCAAAGCTGCCATGAAAATTTACCAGCCATGACATCCTTCCTCTCAAGAACCAATGCAGAAATATAGGAATTGCATACCATAAAAGACCAATAGCCCACTCTACCGTTCTCTCTCTGAGAATGACCAAGAAGGGATACTTCCTAATACCATAAAATAACTAATTAACTACTTTTGTAAGACTGCAAGAATATTTATTCCCTCATATACACTGATGTGTTCATGAGAAGCTAAATCACAGAGGCTTGAACTGATCTTATAATATAGCACCCCACTGCTGAAAAAGAGGGGCTCAAATTTCTCTCTACCTGGATCAACTCACCACTATTTATACTGAATACAAGTAGCTTGCATCATAGTTAATGTAACCTATAGCTAATGGATATATTTGTTTATATTTTGTTTACTTAGCATTTCTGTCACTAGCAGTAATTGGTATGAAGTCTCAATCTGGAGCAGCCGTTTTCAAACTTCAGTACATTGAGTATCTCTATTTTTATTTAAAAAATTCTAGTGAGCTTCCCCACCCTGCCCCTTTTTCAAGGCCCTGCCCTCCCTTGCTCCATGCCCTCTCTCTTGGTCACTCAGGGTACTCCTACACAGCAACATTATTTTGAAATAACTAGTGTTATTTTGAACTAACTTAGTCCACATCTACACAGCAGGCAGTTATTTCAAAATAATGTCAAAATACTGTTAAGCTGGAGGACTTCTTACTCCGACTTCTGTTACCCTCATTGTAGGAGGAATAAGGGAAGTCGGAGAAAGAGTGCTCTATTTCGAAAGAAGTGCTGCGTAGACACTCCCAATTTCAAAATAAGCTATTTTGAAATAAGATACGCAATTGACATAGCACAATTTGCATAGCTTATTTCAAGTTAAGCCCTGCTGTATAGACGCATCCTCACTCTCCTGCACTTACTTTCACTGGCTAGGTTAGGGCATTGGGGGTGTAGGGAGGGTGAAGGTTCCAGCCAGGGAGTTGGGGCCAGGCTGAGGTGTTCAGGGTGTGAGAGGGGACTCTGGGCTGGGCCCAGTGGCTGAGATGCAGGAGGGATATGAAGACTCTGGCTGGGGTGTGTGGGGGGTGTGGTAGAGCTGGGGATGAGAGGTTTGGTGAGCAGGTGAGGGCTCTGGGGCTAGGGCAGAGGGTTGGGGTAGGGAATGTAAGCTCCAGAAGGGAGTTTGGGTATGGGAGGGGACTCTGGGTTTGGGTAGCGGGTGGATTCAGGATCCCAAAGTAACTTACCACGGCTCTTAGGAGTAGCTGCTAGATCCCTGACAGCTCCTAGGTGCATGGGCAGCCCTCATGCCCACAGGCGTTGCCCCGACAGCTCCCATTGGTCATGGTTCCCAGGCAATGGGAGATATGAAGGGATACAGGTGGGAGCAAAACTTAGAGCCTCCTTGGTTGCTCCTGTGGCTACAGGCCACCACAGGGACCTGGCGTTTGCTTCCATGAGGAACCAGGGAATGTAAGGAGCCTGCCACAGGAGGCACTGGGAGAGAATGAGAGGAGTTGATCAGCAGGGCCCACAAAACCCCTGAAGTTCCCTCACAGAACCCCAGGGGTCCTCAGACCCCAGATTGGGAAATGCTGGTCTAGAGCAGAGATTCTCAAAGTGCAGTCTGTGGACCACCAGTGGTATGCAAGCTCCATTCAGGTGGTTTGTAGATAGATCCCTCTAAGGTGCATACCTGGGTGGTCACACATGAGAGAATGAAGGGCTGCCCACCTAATCAGTGGCTTGCAGGGGTGGCTCCACTAATTAGGCACCTGGACCCTCATATGGAAGTTGAGGTGGTGGCTGTGGAAGGAATAGGGGGTCAGCAATTTTCAAACAGTCCACGAAAAAAACATTTGAGAACAACTGGTCTAGAGGTTAAGTGCAGTGTGTGTATGTATGCATACGTATTACCAAAACAAGGTGCCATAAACACAAAACTTCTGGCAACTACTGTACAAAGTTAGTACAGGAAACACTCCATAATCATCACTGAAGTTGGCTGCAAAAAGAAATACTTTTAATCTATAAAAGAGAAAAAGTTTGTAATATATTGGCCCAGATCAGTGTTTTAAAATAAAAAGACACATGTAGACTTATCCAGTGCACACAAAAGTCAGAGGAAAGATTTAATCACTTCAGTGAGAGCTAGACCAAGACTTAGATTTCCAGCACTTTCCCAGATTCCCAAAATCTAAAAAAGGTGAAGCACAATAACAACACAAGCTATGGGCCGAGTTCATTTAGGAAAGGAAAACATGAAGAGAATAAGAAGGGGTTTCATGTGTTGTCATCTACAAGTCCCTTCCTGCGCTGGCTCCGAAAGTGGCGCTCAATATTTATTGTCACTTCCCTCTGCAGGTTTCTGCTGTTGGTTTTTCCAGCTGTTCTGATCCAGGGATGCTGAAGAACTTGTTGAGCTGTGTAGCGCTTTTGAGGATCTATCACCAACAGCCTGGTTATCAGATCTTTTGCTGCTATTACATGCCAAAAAAGGGGGGAGGGGGAAAAAAGGACAGTGTGATGATTGTGGTGGTCTGATGTTCAGTTACAACAAATAAAACAATCTCCATTTTCAATATGTATGGCTATCACTGAGTCAGTGCAGTGATCAGAATCAGAATTTAATGCCCTGAGGTGACAAATCCCTAATTGTCTTTTGGCATCATCATCCCTATGAGAAGCCAGGAGGACAGAGACAAACAGGCCAATCTCTAAGGCAGGGAATTTAATCTGCAGGGCAGCAGAGGAGCAGAAGCACTTTGGAGAGCATCTGGTGCCAGTCTGGGTACTTGGTGCCAGGCCCGTGGAAGAACAGAATTCTACATACATGCTTAAGACTAAAGGTACCACTAAACAAGGGTTTTCAAAAGAAATACTGCAGACACTAAACTGGACAAGGAACCCCATTGACTTCAATGGGGCCATGGCATCACCCTTGGGCATTATCCTTGTGTGTCTTTTTACACAGACCTTCACACTCTAACATAATCAAATGCACTGCTTTGAAGCCTTCTTTGTAGACACAAGTTTAGCCAAACTGTAGAAACACCACTTGCTCTTCTTTCAGAAAAGAAATTATACCTAATTTAAAGGTATCAGATCTGATTTTCATATACATAGCTACTGATATTATCTTTTAAAAAATACTGCAACAGTCTGTAAGCTCCTGAGATAGGATATAAGTGATTCTTACCACCTGAAATACTGTCCCAGTATGGTGAAAGGAATTCATAGTGACCCAGCTGTATGATCTGAAACAGTTCTTCCTGATCTCGCTCCTGACTTCGGAAAGGAGGGAAGCCACAAAGCAAAATATAAAGTATCACACCAGTAGCCCACATGTCTACTTCCAGTCCATAACCTAGGGAAAAGAAAGTTAAGTATCATTTTTCAGGTCACAGGTTAAATGCTTCTTTTAGAGATGAAACTCATATTGCAAAGAACTTGTGGTTTCATATTGCATTCTTTAAGAAACACTGTAGGTCTACAGCTTTCCCTGCTGCTCAGAAACTACATTTTCTCATGAAGAGTGGTGAATGAAAGAAGTGGCCAAGGCACCTCTTGATAAACTGTGTACTGCACTGTCATATCATCTTATAATAGCCCATACATAAGCACCTTTCCTCTTCAAAACACTTTACAAACATCAGCAGCTTCACAACACCAGTGTCAGCAGATTCATTGAAAAAAATGCAGCATACATTTAAAAAATACTGTTGTAAAGCGACTCTATTTAGGTTCTTATTCTCTTCCTCAGACAGTAAGGAAATCCCAAGTTTCCTTTGTAATTCTGTATATCTACAGAAGGGTGAGTCTGCTCTATGAAATGGCACGCTCATGCCCTGAGCCAAACTGAGTCCAAAACCCTTTTCAGGTTTGACTTTATCTTCCTTCTCTCTCTTGATCTTCCAATGTGTCAGATTATTGTCTAGTGTAACCATTCAGATGCATTGCCTTCTCTTGCACTGCTAGGACTTTAAGTTTATAGGGGCTTCAACCACAAGGTAAAAGAAAACAGGAAATCTTTAGTGCATAACACCAAATCAATTCTTCTTTCTTAACTGTTAAACATAATCTATGCTATTCTGATACAGGCAGTCCCCGGGTTACGTACAAGATAGGGACTATAGGTTTGTTCTTAAGTTGAATTTGTATGTAAGTCGGAACTGGCTCCAGATTCAGCTGCTGCCACTGATACTGACCAGGGGCTGACTTCAGGAAGCCGGAGGCAGAGTTGCTCTGCCCCCAGCTTCCTGGAATCAGCCTGATCAGTTTCAACAGCTGCTGAATCTGGAGCCTGGGACAGAACAGCTGGGGCGCTGCCCGCTAGGTTCCCACAGGACCAACCAGGCAGCACCCCAGCTGCTCTACCCAAGGCGTCCAGCAACAAAAGCCTGGTCTGCTGGGGGGGGCGCACTAGCTACGCCCCTCCCCCCCAGCAGACCAGGGACACCCGAGCAAAGCCACCCAGGCGGCGGGGGTCCCCCTGCCTGGGCGGCTTTGCTCCTGGGCAAACGAGCAAAGCCGCCCAAGCGGCGGCTTTGCTCGGGTTTCCCTGGTCTGCTGGGAGGGTCCAGTGGCTTTGCTGGACCCCCCCAGCAGACCAGGGAGACCGGGAGAAGCTTTTCTCGCCCCGGAGGACACAGGTGGGGAACCGCCGCCCTTGAGCTCCGGGGCGAGAAAAGCCCCGTTCGTTAGTGCGGATCCGACGTTAAGTCAGATCCGCGTAAGTCGGGGACTGCCTGTACTTGCCAAATTAGAGTATAAATTTTAGTAATAAAACATTAATAAGAAAATTAGCTGAGGTTTTTAGTGACAAGCAATGAACAGAAGTACATTATGAACAGAAAAATCAGAGTCATTATTTGATTTTTTTATATTCACCCTTCTCGGCAAGTATTTCAGGGGCAACGTATGTTGGTGTTCCACACACAGTGAAGATGGGTTTTGTAACCTTCTTTGCCAGGCCAAAATCTGCTAGTTTCAACGTGGTCGATTTATCTGCATTATGCTGAACCTGTACCAAAGCAAACACAAAACAGATCTTTATTCCAATGGTGTTTGAGAGATAGAAGCAAATCAACAGATGAAATTCAGAATTGGGATTATCAGAGAAGATCAATTCTTGAGCCTAACAGTAACAAATTCAAGTTAGCCAAAATTAAGTAAAATCAACATACCAATAAACAATATTCAGACAGCAGTCTATACATTCAGAAATTCAAAAAGACAATGAACATTTTCACACAGAAAGGCTATTAATGAAAAAGAAAACTCACTCTTTTATAAATCATGTTATTCAGCAACTTCCAAGAAAAAAAAATGTAGTGGAAAGGGAATGAATAAAAGAAGAATTTTTTTTCAGATTATTTCAATTAGGGATGTTAAAATGAGTGTAACTGATTAACTGTGTAACTGCTGAAAATTTCAGCAGTTACACACGGGGTAGCAGCCAGCTTCCTAGGAGCTGGTGTGTGCCGGGAGCTGGCTTCTAAACTGGCTCCCAGTGTGCACCCACTTCCACCTGCCAGCCTGCTCCCAGGGACCTGGCTGCTGCTGTGGGCTGCTGCCTTTGATACAGAGGCAGCAGCACATGGTTGCAGATGGCTCCCAGGAGTCGGTATGTGTGGGGAGCTGGCTTTTAAGCCGATTCCCCGCATATACCAGCTCCTCCCTGCTCTCCCTTTCCCACGCTGCTGCCTCGCAGCAGCATGGGGCAGCACGCAGCTCCTCGGGAGCCAGACTGAGAGCCATGTGTAACCATTTGGGTAACCAATAAGCTCATCCATATCAGTTTTCCGTTTAAACAGCTACATTCTTACAACCCTAATTTCAATATTAATTTTTATCCACCATCATCACCACCTTTGAAAACCACGTTTCACAAAGAAAGAAGCTGAGAGTTTTATCACTTTAGTAACATTTCTAGTCACACTGGTGTTGTACAAATATTTCAGATTCCTTCTTAGGATCTCTGTAAGGTGCCCTCAACTATATGGAATGAGTAACGATTTTTTAAACCCTGAAATTTGTACATGTTTCTGTTCAAATATGCACTCTACATTCTGTTACGGAAATGGATATTGGTGGGGTTGAATACAGAGATAATATGGAATGGTTAGGCGGGAGGGACCCTGACTCTAAAGCATTCTTCTCAACACTATCCATCATTGGCTGAGAACTTCTCTTGAAAATACTCAAAATGTACCTTCCATTTTAGTTTTATTAGTACAGATTTTAAATATTTTTAAAAAAGCATAAACAAACATTACATTTGAGACAACAAAGTTCTAGAGAGCCCAGCAATGCAAAAATATATACTAAAATTCTTAATATTACTACTCAGCATTTTTCTTAAAAATTTAAAAGAAAACTAAACATAACTTTGCTTTGAAAAGAGAAAGCATTCGCCTCTATCAAATAAGAAACAAAGAAATATGGCTAACTTTTCTACAAGAAATCCAGCAAAGTCCAGTGAAATCTGGATTTGAACGGGATAAGCGAGAATATGAGATGCCAAGCACACCTCAAACTATAATGCCCCACACCAATGTTCCCTCTGATTTTTTCCATCCATATGCAGAATAAATTTTATGTGCACTAAGGCATGTGAAGATGTGTACCACCACTAGAAACAAATGCTACTTGCTATGGGCATTGAGAGCCATCTGCTGATCAGCGGGGTGGGTTTAAATCTCTCCTGGGTGGCTGCTCAAGTGCTCACCTTACAGAGAACACTGCCCCACACTCTGTAATCACAGCTTAAATTGGCCAAAAATTCAAAATGGTTCTTGTAATAAAAACTTTGAGAGCTCAGATGGGATGAGGTGCACTATCCCATAGGCACTACCCAGTCAAAATACATTTGTATTCACTTCAAACATTATAAACATAGCAATGCTCACCGGATCCATTGAGCAAAACATTTTTAAAAGGCATTTTCAATTCAAAAAAGAAAATAAGACATATTTTCTAATATGTTATATTAACTAATAATATAGTTAATAAAAAATCCATACTACTTGTTAACAATGCACACCCACACATGGTGGAAGGGTTTTGAGAGGGGGTTTTAGAATTACTCAACTTCCCTGATGACATTTTATATTCTGATTTCTCAGCAGCACAGCTAACAAAATGCAAAAAAGTATTATGTTTACAAAGGTAACATCCACAGTGTTCTAAAACACTATCTATACAGAGAGGGAAAGTCAATACAGGTTACCCAATAGAACTCTCACTCTAAAGGTGTGTCTAGACTACAGGGTTTTTTCTAAAAAACTTCACCTGCATCTAGACTGCAGCCACATTCTTTCAAAAGTAAATTGAAAGAACGCGGCAGTTTTTTCAAATGCAGTAAACCTCATTTTATGAGGAATAATGCCTTTTTTCGAAAGTACTCTTTCGAAAAAAGGCACTATTGAATGCAAACTGTGCTTTTTCAAAAGAGCGAAAAAGCGGCTCGCTTTTTCGAAAAATCTACTTAGACGCTCTCTTTCAAAATAGGATTTTTCTAAGGATTCTTTTGAAAAAGCCTCTTTCGAAAGAGGCTTGTAGTCTAGACGTCCCCTAAGAGTACAAGCAACAACCTGAGAAGGATACAATTGAAATACATGAAGTTTTTATGTACACCGTGTATGCACATGTTGCTTAGATCTAAATATCTGTGTATACCTATGTATCCACAGAACCTTCTGCAAATATTTAATGAACGAATAACAAATACACCCTGCCACTCAAATCCTGCAAATTAGCTTATTAAGAGATAAATAAAGATGAAATTCTCAAATCCATATTTACAAATGTTAGGACTATGCCCCCAGTCCTGCAATGAGCTCCATGCAGCCAGGTTGCTCCTGTGCAGAACCACATTGAATGGGTATGAGGGTCCACCCATGCTGCATGAGATAATATACAGGTTGAACCTCTCTAGTCCCCCACTCTCCGGTCCAGCACGATTGTAGTTAGCTGGATGTCCACTTATCATGGACATGATCAAGTTTCCTTCGGTTCCAGAAAGTTTCTTTAGAACCACCAGAGTCCTGGCTCTCAGTGTTCTTTGCTGTTATTTAACTCTAATTTATTTTTAAATGTCTTCTAAGAGCCCAGTAAGCAGGGGAAGTGTTGTTGATGATGATGATAGACAATATTGACCTCCTGTGGTTTGGCAAATTCTCGAGTTCGGCACTGGTCAGGTCCCCAGGATTCCAGACTACAGAGGTTCAACCTGTATCTTTGTTTTTATCAACTGGTGTTCTACTCTAGTCTCTCATTACAACACAAGATGGCGATCGAGCACCATCTGTTATTTCTGAACACCACCAATTTGTTTTCCTTTTACATAGCAGCAAAATAGGTAAGAATAAGAAACATGTTTGAAATATTAGTCTGTATAACAAATGCACCTTTCAAAGAAACTACTGTAAATTGTCAGGATGCCTGGAGGCCCCAATCACATAGTGATCAGCTACCTTATTGTGTCTGGAAACAATTTTAAAGATAGCTCAGATGGGGTAGCTATCATTGCTCCCTACAGTCTTTTTATCCCTGTATTTATAATCTCTTTCTCTTTCCCCCTCCCCTCCATAAAACCTTTCATCAGGCAGCAGAAAAGCAAGCAGCCTTCCCCAACAAAAATGTATATGCACTCGGGAGGAATAAACTGCTTTTTACATCTGCTTTTCCTTCTGAGATCAAAGTACAAAATCTCAGTGATGTGACAGAAATCCACAGCCTATTGAGCTGAAAACTAATTGTCTCTCCCAAGCCTAAAGTGTACGTTCCATGGAACAGAGCGCAATACTGCCAATAAAACAAAGTGGCTAGTGCTGCCAGCACTACAGTTAGGGATTTCTAATGCATCCATTGCTGTACACCCATATGATTTCTATTATCAAGCCACTATCTGACTTCGAAGGAAGAGCAATTGTAGCAGCGGATCCTCTTTTGCCTCTTCCCTACCCTGACCCAAGCTACTTCTACTCCTTTTCTCTGGCCATGTCTGCATCATGGAGCCATGTTTAACAGGTGTCAAATACTGCTCCTCTTCAAGTGGCATTAAACAAGAGTCTTGCCAATTCTCTTCCAGAATTTGATCTGAGGAAGTGGGTCTGGCCCACGAAAGCTCATCACCTAATAAACCATCTTGTTAGTTTTAAAGTGCTGCATAGTCCTCTCTTTTGCTTTTGTAAGACAGAGTCAACCACACACATCTACAATAGCAAAGTTTGCTTGTTCAACATTGAAGTTTAGCTTTGCGAGCTCCATTAGTTGCTGGTAGGGAGACAGAGCAGCTTCATTCACACCCACTGTTGAGTATATTTTGTTTCCTAGTGCAGCCACAGTCCTTTTGGCACCTTGTACTGCTGCACTGAGTGTGAAGGACCTAGCAAACACAACGAGAGCAAATGTCTATAGCTAAAGTTGCCACTCATAGAAAGAGGGCAACACTAGACAGGGGGGAAATTAGTTTCGCTCTCATTCATTCTCCATCTTCTGGGAACTGTCATGAAATCCAGTATGAGGACAGGCACTGACAGAAGAGAAAATGGAAACACTGTAGGGCTCCAATAACAATAGCAGCATCCTTTGTTTAAATTGATGAGAGTCCCCTCCCCCAGGACCCATTCCACACCCCATTGCCTTCCAAATGCACACGACAATGGACACATTAGCTTATGTCTGACTTTTGCCATTAATAGTCTTCAATTAACAGCACGGTGGGAGAAGTTCCACCTAATCCTAGGTTATTTTTTCAGTGTGTCTGAAGACTTGGGGAAAGGATACTATAAAAGGTCAGAAAGTTAAAAACTACTTCTTGAATTTATTGTATTTATCAAGGTGTTCATTGTCCAGCCTTACACAAATCACCATCACTAAGCACAATTGAAACTAAAGATCAATCAGTCACGATCAAAGCATGTGTCCTGATGGCATATCCAAGACCCCAGAGACAAGCTACCCACCAAAGAATAAAAAGACAGTTCCCAGTTAACATGAAGAATGGGGAAAAAAAGGAGTTTAACCACTTAAAAAGAAGAAAAGGAAAACAACAAAATAACAGCTGACATTTGGCAGAACCTTACAGTTTGATAACTAAGTTTAAACTCCTTGGTCAAGCTCAGCAATAGCACAGTTTCCAGGCATTTATGCATGAAAGGACAGTCCCTTATGCTCATTCAGACTTTATCCTCTCTGCCAAGACTGCCACCAAGGGGACTAATTAACACCAGTTGTGGTTGCAGTTTTTGAGATGTGAAGCATAAATCCATTTCCTGCAAACTGACAAGCCCCCATCACTGTAACTATAAAAGATTTAAAACTATATACTTAAAAATAGTCATGACCTTCATTTCAGTTCCTTCCATAACACCCAATGTGTTAATACTTCTTTCAACACTAAGTTTTAAAATACTGTGGCAATTATGGATCTGTTTGATAACTTGTTTAAAAGGAAATTTTCCTCGCATGCCTTTCACAAATATGAGAACTTCAAACAGCTTTTCACAGCAGTATCTACAAATACACAAAATAATATTGGAGGTTCCTAAACTCATTTGTACGAATAGCCCATTCAACCTCTTGAATAGGATATGATTGATATACTTAGTAACAGCCAGTGGAGGTGTTTTTCTATAAACAGTATCTATTGTAGTTATTCAGCCAAGTAACTGTAAGAGGCCTCTGAAACACAAATTTGTAAACAGCTATTTCTCATTAGCTTTAAGTATCCAGGCTCTAATATAGGCAAATATCTGCTGAACTTTGGGCACATTTCTCATCATAAAATTTTCCGTACCCCACAGTACCTTATCTGTATGCAGGCAGGGAGGCTAACACAAGCACATTAATAACTGTAAATAGGGTTGCCAGATGGTTTTGACAAAAATACCGGACATGCTTGATCTCAGATGCGGGGGAGAACTGGCCAGCAGGGAGCAGGGCTGGCCGGGAGGAGGTCAGGGGGAACCGGACGGCAGGGAGCAGGGCTGGCTAAGAGGAGGTCGGGGGGAGTGGGACTGGCAGGGAAGATCAGGAGGAACCGGCTGGTGGGGAGCAGGGCTTTTCGGGAGGAGATCAGGGGAGCAGTGCTGGCCGGGGGGGGGGGGAACCGGACAGCAGGGAGCGGGGCTGGCCCAGGCACACACAGATCCCGGGGCGCTGCCCGTCTCGCTCACAGTCCTGGCGGAGCGCATGGGCCCCGGGGATTCCATCCCGTCCCAGCCCCGCCCTCCCCTCTACTGCGTAGTTGCGTACTGATACTCATGATAATAATTTTCTAATCAAGTAAGTTTTATTTTCTCAATTTGTTTCCTGAACAGAAAGCTCAAAAACTGGACTGTCCAGTTCAAAACCGGACACCTGGCAACCCTAATTGTAAATCTTTACAGAGATCCAGATTCTCCATTGCTTTGCACATAAGCGACTGGTGCCTGTGGTGGAGGGAAGTGCAGGGAGGGGTAGTCCATCTCCTAAGTGCTACCACAAGTCACCTATGGCTTTGCACCTTGTGAAGTCATTTATACCAGTACAAAGTGGCTCTAACATGACAGGAAATCTTTGAATTGGTATAAGTAACTTTACACAAAGAGAAACGGAGAATCAAGCCTAAGGTACTTCAACTAGGATTGATTTAATTTTGGTAAAAATTTGGAGGAAGAATAAAAACCTGGTCCACAACAGGGAACTAGCTTCAGAAAGCGTGCATCTGAAATCTGAATCTTTCATACAAAAAACAACAGGGTTTGCATGCCCAGTTCAAGGGAGAGTGCAGAAATACACTTGTCCGCACACGCGGCTGCTTCAATCCACACCACGTTTTCCATATGATTCTTAGGCAGACCAGATCCCAAGGAATCCTCCTGAGACTGCCCAATACTCACCAGGAACCAGTCCACACGCTGTCAGCAAAAAAGACACATCCATGTTCCAGAGTAAGCCCTCCTTGTCTATCTTTGTTCATTCTCTGTCTGTCCACAGGCTACTTCCTCCTTTTTCAGACTGGACTTATTCTAGCTAGTCCTGAGAAGCATATGTTCCTTTAGGGCTCTGGCTTGCCAGGAATCCAGTTTTTTTTTTCCTATATCCCTTTGCTAGCAGATGGAATTATAATTGTTCAAGACATGCAAATACAGCTGCTCTCCGAGTTACGAACAAGTTACGGACCAACACTTGGTCCGTAACTTGAAGTGTTCGTAACTCAGATCCCATAGAGTTACATGGCGACCGCGCTGTTCGTAAGTGCGGATCACCGTTCGTAACTCGGATCCGCATAAGTGCGGATGGTTGTAAGTGGAGGTGGTCATAATTCGGGGAGCGGCTGTACAGCCATCTGGTCAGAAGTTTAGAATATTGGAGCAGAGTACAAGATGCATGACCAGCAAGGTGGAATAATTCGCTTTTACCACTTTGCACAGGGCACATCCCAAAGCTCTGATGCTGTCAATATTTATATGCATGGTTACATGCTTACGTGTAATGATGAGTCATTCCATCAACTTCAATGGAACTACTCACATGCTTGAGTTTAACAATGTGTGTGTGTGTTTTCAACTTCAGGAGCCAAGTTAGAATTGTGTCCATTGGGGAGGAGCTAAATATTTTAGCTAACTTCACTAACATATTTCTCTGGGACTTCAATATTTTCATTTTAGGAGACTTATCAATAAGCAAGTAAATTCCAGGAGCATAAAGAAAACAAATATGTCATGCACTTATCAGTAACAGACATAATCCTTACCAAGCTAGAAATCACCATGCAATCTCCGCTAGAGGACTGGAGTTGCAGACTGAGTGATACAGCTACAATAGAGAAAGCAACCTTCAAATTAACAGGCTGAATGCAGGTTATATAATAATTTTTGGTTCACATGTGAAATGTTTTAGGATTCAAAGTACATGTTAGGCAAAATGGCTGAGCTTCTGTGCCTGAAAATAGGTCCCTAAATAAGAGGCCTGCTTTTTCAGAAAAACTGAAAGCCAGGGCCTTAACTTAGGTTATAAATGCAGGCATTCATACTACATACGAGGATTTCTGTTTTATGCTGGGGCTAAGGAAATTGTAAGGCTGATTTCTCTTCACCTTTTTGTACATTTAGTTCTCTGAAAATGATAACAGTGCACTGTATATCTTTTGCCTACTAATACTAGTGGATCTTCTCTTTTCTGTACTGGTATAAAAGTCAAAACAAAAAAACCCACAACCCTCCACCAAAATAAACCCCAATAATTTCTGGACAGATGCAACATGCTACACATTACTACTTACCAGAAGATTTTCTGGTTTCAGATCTCTGTGGACAATGTTCTTGCCATGAATATAAACTAGAGCTTCACACAGATCAGTTATCATGAGAGCAGCATCGTGTTCAGTGAACTTCACACTCTCTATGATTGCATCAAACAGGTCTCCTCCTGGGACATACTCTAGGATTAGATAAATCTCAGCCTCAGTTTCATACACATCAATTAAGCTCACTATGTTGGGATGAGAAAGACTCTTAATGATCAAAATCTCATTTTCCATCATGTCCTCCTTCCCCTTCAGCTTGGACTTATCAACAATTTTCATGGCATAGTTCTGATGAGTGTTG